CGAAATCGATAATAACATCCGCAAAGATAGTATTTTATATAAAATCAATAAAACAATAACGGATGGACTGCGGACGAATTTATCGGTTTGGGATTATACTATGCACCTATCGCAAATCTTGTATAATAGTTATGTAGATAAAAATTGACGCTTGAAAAACCAGGATGCGATCTTAGCAACAGACATCAGTAAATTGTACTTTGCATGTTAATTTCATGACAACTACAAGATTATTGATGCACATTCCTCGTAAACAAGTGATTACGTAAAAACCTCTGGTTCAGCTAACTACTTACACTAAAAGCAACTTCCGTAGTGTTTCATGAATATATTAGGCATACCAATATGACCATATTTATAATATCAGTCAAATGTATACGTAAATAATACATGTTTATATTCGTAGCCCTTATTTATCGAGTTGGTAGATTATTTGATGACGAAATATAAAAGGTACATGCGAAAATCAGCGAGCGTACTAGAGGCCCAACAATAAATTTTTAACGATCAGCGCTGCGCCCAACTACAGGCCAAAATAAAACTCGACTCTACACTCGCGAAGAAAAACAAGCTTGATTGGATGTGGCATCGAGATGCACTCATCCATCACGATCGGTCGTGATTTAATAAGTATTAATACTACTCTTACGCTAGAATTACACTTTTGACATTGAACAAATTAAACTGAAGCATTTAAAAAAGGGCCTTTAAAATAAATTTATGCCTGTCACCTTTTTAATAACTATGATTGACATAAAAGTAAGTGCTAGTTTATTTATATTGCTTTAATCTCATCCATCACACAAAGGGAATCAAAATCACAATGTCGTGTCCATGTGTTTGAATTCTGCACAAATAAAATTTTGTAGCTCGATGTACCGCGGTCTATTTTCGTGCGGAAACCTCATCCGGATCGAACGCGAGCAAGTTCAGGGAAACCAGACGAGGAAGAGTTTTATTGAACTAGTGGAAATTAGGCCAACAAGTCAGACATCGGCCATACACAGATTTGGGCCGCGTATTTATAATATAATGTCACAGACATAGATTTAATTTTGCGCATACAAACCGGGTCAACTCCACAAGTCCCCGCAGATTTACATTCGATACTCGCAAATTCGGATGAAATCACGTACGACCTAAATGTGCACTAACATAGTTACACGGGGCTACACCATCACATATGGTGCGGTGACTGTGTTTCAAGAGTTTACAATCACTGACATGGTTCGAAGACAATGATAAATGTCGCAATCTAAATTAAGTCACTTACCTACAACCAGTGTGATCCATACTTAGGTACCGCTCCTCTCATTTTAAGCTAGGCAAGCTCATTTCCCTAATAAAATACCTAATGTATGTATAAACTACTGAGGTTAAGTCGTTAAAATTACGTGCTGCCATATCTGTACGTGGTCACGAATTAAAATATCGCAGCTTCCAAATGTATTTCAAAACTATCCGCTTCCTCCTCCTTTAATGCTTATCGACTAAGTGTCTTCTGTTGGGCTGAGGCTCAAGAGGCTTATCTCAAGTCGAATCGAGTTGCCGGCGTGTTCGGGCTAATATACAACTTCCTTAATTGCGAGAGAGCATTTCTATTGAGACCAGTTACATAGGTCACATGATTGGGCTCACCTTTACTGGCATACAAAACTATCTGCGATTCACGGGCTTGTTGCATAGGTAGACAAGCTATTGCCTATTTATTAATTCATTTCAAATCTTATAAAACATTTTACATAGGCCATTAAGGTATTACATGATGCTACGTTTGCAGGTAACTAATATCGTAAAATTAAGCCCATGCTTGTTTATTTTACTGCCATTTCTACACTAGCAATTGATTATTATAGAGTCAATATTCTGTAAGTGCTGCAATAATTCCGTTTTCTGCAATTAGGTATTGCGATAGAGCAGGAATGCGGGATACAGTCAAACTTCTGTGTCAATTCATTATCGAGAGGGCAAACGTATAAGTTATCAATTAACCACTATTATTGCATAACGTTAGTCATTAGTTACTAGATTGGGTATGAAATAGTAACGCGTTAACAATGAGATGATGTGAGCCGAAGGCCACGGCGCAAGTTCACGAGTTTCGTTCAACGACCGCTCTTATCATTACCATTCAATGCGGACTCTTGGATCATTACCGACCCTATTCTAATACCGATCAACTTATGCTTTATCGCATTATACCATTACTATGGAAATGTACAAAGCGGTTCCAGAAATTGTCCGAAGAATGCCCAGCAGGCATATGAATTACCTTTTTTAGATGCTACGAGAAACAAAAGACTGCAGACAAACTTTCCGCTACTTTTTACTATGTTTCGATTTGTATAGGTACCATTCTCGTTTTATCTAGAGTCTATTTATAGCGAAGTCTCAAGTCATTGTAATATTATGGATGTATAATATAATTTGAAAATTAAAATGCAATGCATTCACGCTTCGTCTGGCACATGTAATACCTACCTATCCAAACGAGTCTGCATATAAATGTATCTGATATTGTTATTCATAGACTGAAATAAATGGAGAGGAACATGGTTTAATTGTCCATTCTTTTTCTTCAATAGATTATCCATTACAAAAGTAATAAGAGATAGAATAGAACAAACTCTAGTACCTACGGTAACTTTTATAACGAATGAGGTTAAAAATGGTACCGACAAAAGTGGAATTCTTAAGGCTCGTGATACGGGTCAAAAGTGGTCATGTACGTGAATAGACTAAACGAAAGTGAAACGTGACAAGATAAATGTTTGCTGCTCTCGACATGACCAGCGACCTTCGCTGTGCGGGCGCGAATCTGCACCCGAGTTCACGGCGAGGGCCACTTTTATTGCTATAACTAAAGCACACTTGGACACTCGGCATCCACTACAGGTAGCCATAATAGCCATCATGACAAAATTTTGTAACATTCATCTAAAAGCTGCTACTGCTGTAGGTCAAAATAAAAAAAATCCTCCTGAAAAATCTTCCATTTTGTTTTAATCTCAGTGAGTTGGAAGTTGACACTCTCTTGTAGTTTCCACTGGAAGCCACATCTGACCAACTGCGACATATACCACCTTAATTGTAGCTAGGGTAGTCTAGTGTGCGGCACTGTTCATCCATTTCATTGACGTAATCCTGCCAATTTTATCGCCGAGTAGTCTGTGCGCGAGCTTAAAAGCAAGCCGATCAATATAATGCGCTTTATAAAACATATCTACATTTTGCATACAGGCTCAAAATAGGTCTGAGATAAGTGCCTCGTGAATGTTTTTTGCTGCTACGCAAAGATTAGTGCTAATAAAATCAGGTCAATGGATCAGTGCCTTCTGCCCATTTTATTACCTACCGTCTTGGAACATACGAAAAGATCTTAAATTTTTTTTAAAGCAAAATTATCAGTATACACCAAGGATAAGATGTTACTGACTTATTTTGTGACGTTTTGTGAAAACCCATTGTTTGTGCATAGCGTTTGGAGCAGAGCCTTTAATGGAGTAATTCAATTAGTAGCCCTAGGAAGTCAAAGACAGCTCCCATTGACCCCTGCCCTGGCTAGGACCGCCAGCCGTTCTCACGAGCCTATGGCGAAAATTAACAATGACAATTTAATTGATACAAACTGTCGTAGGTGATGTGAGGCCAGCCAAATGGCGCTATTAAGTGGGACCGAACAAGGCACAATAACAGGGTTTGATTCTGACTAATGACATCGTTTTAGGCACTAATGGGCACTAAATATTCATTGAAACCTCCAAACCTGTCCCTTCAATTACTTTTTAAGACCATGTAAACACAAAATTTCTTAAAATCCCATCAGTGATGAAATGTAGAGTTCAGAAAAAAACATTCGCAAAATTTCATAATCATTGAAAAAGATTCACGAAATGCACATTTAGGAAGGCTAAAATAATTCTCAAGTCGAACTCTCAAGGCCTTGTTGTAGCTAATAGCAAAGAATGGTTTCTGCTAAGTAGTGACAATGCTGAAAATTAGCACATACGAAACACGGTCATTCACCCACACCTTATTACATGAGAAATATAGAAACTGTATAGAATGCTTCACTAGCAAAAAATAACATCACACGTACCTACCTACTAATCTGACCGATAATGAACTTCAGCTTATACACTAATATAAATTTAATAAATTACATATTTGAATAAAACAGAGTCATCGATCGGCGGTATCAAATGTCAAAGGTCAAATGTGATGTGGTGCCACCTGCGATATAAGTGAAATAAAATTCACGTGTACTTATATTTTGATCTAAAATAGTTGTATTTTTTATCAATTTAATTCTTATCATGATGTAAAACCGGCCATTAAACTCTACATTATGTAATTTATTACTTTGTCCAAGGACGCGCGTACATTTTGGATTCTTAAGTAAATTACAAACTGAAAATCATCCGAATAAGTAAGTATCTATTGCGTACGAATTTTTTTTTGTCTTAAAATGTTTGTAGTTATCATATCTATCAGTTAAGGCTGTGATGTAAATGCTGTTTATTAGGTATCTAGTTAATTTTCTTCTTAGCAACCACTTCCACTTTCCTGTGGTTTCTATTATAGTTATCGTTTACTTTAATCCTCGTCAGTTATGTAGGTAACGAACGTTTATTCAGGTGAAATCACATAGAACCACACTATTTTAGTAACTAATCAAATAGAAAGTAATTGACAATTAATGGTCGTCAACGGGTTAGATACACTCGGAACCGATCGCGTAATATTGCAAGTGCGATCGAGCAACTTGAACAAATAAATATTTCCAATCGTTCGATGTCTACCAACTGTAAATATTCCTTCGTCGCACAGAAACAAACTTTCAAAAATATTACATTATCGTGCATATGACAAAAAATGAATTTATGCGACAGCTGTCAGTTTTAACTTTACCTAAAAGTGAAACCCTATATCGACTTAAAAATAAATGTTTGCGAGAAATGGTATTCTGCAAATCGGTAGAAAATAAGCTGCATACTCACTGGGCTCAGTGGTCCATCCAGTGCAGACAGGTCCAGAAGGTTAGACAGCAACAGATCTTCGCCGGTAAAAAGTGAAATTTCTCGCGACGACGTCGGACGCTAATTATTTATTCACTCGTAGTGAAAAACGTGGATCAGTCGACACCGTGTTCGCGCCAACTATATATAAACACGTGTTTGATAATTTCAGATATAGTACGAAGTGTATTTTTGTGTCAGGAGAAGAGGTTGTTTAGTTAAATTTTTATGTGCGACGGTTCGTATTTGTGCGGTTAGATTATAAGATTGCGAGCGTTCGTAATTTTCGATTGGAGATGCGAGGGCTGAGCGGCAGGCCGAGCGGAGCGCGCGACGCGGCGTCTTGTTAGCCACTGACGGCGCGCGCGCCCGCGCACAGAACGCAAGACTCTTCCAATTTTAAATATTTAAGAATGTCTATACTATACGCTTTTCAGGCCCACAAGATCGACCCAGCCTGGGCATATGGTTGATTTTTAAAGGGGTGGTTATAACTATGTTCAATTTCCTAGTACTTTTAAGTTAGTAATATTAAAATAAAACAAATTGTTATAAATTTGATAATTTTTATTTATCTTTAGGAAAATATACTCTGAAAATAAACTCCAAAGTAAGAGTAACCACATAAATTATTACATTACATAAAGATTACTTACAAAGTAGAGTCAACATTTTTTAACACCATAAATTCAAATCAATTTAAATAAGTCATTTGGTACTTCACTTCAAGTTTTTTCATCTAATGGTGATAAGGCTATCTATCACCATACTTAGTTACAGTGATCTACGTCAGCAGTAGCCAAACTACTGTAATTACAGCACCTATTTAAGAACACAATGAGCAACTGGTGTAGACATTAGAAAATCCTATTAAATGGCATAGAGCCCCCGGAAAACTTTTCCGATCCGGTTAAAGTTCGGATGCGTGTGATTTCACAACAAATTTTAATCAAATTCATCTCCATATTCAATAAAATAAAAGAATGACATAAGGCGTGGGAACCGGGGCCGTCAGTATTAAGACAATATTATGTGACCGGTCCATGAAAATATGAAAAGAAAAATTGAAATCTAAAAAGAGTGATGAAAGAATACTTTATTTACTGTCGTTAGTTACAAATACCTAATCGTGTCAAAAATAAACACCGGACAATGTGATAACGGCTGAACGATCACGGTGTAGACGCCAGCCGGAAACAATTGATTTTATATTGTGAAGTAGACGAATGTTTACATTGTTATAGCCAGGAAAGCTCTTAAAACCCTTACCTTCATACTGACAAGACGCGCTATTTATATCGTTAGACCACTCGAGTGTAAAAACAAACTGCGTATACCCTTTTCATTCAATTACTGAAATGATTCGTATAAAGCAATTACAATTGTCGAAGACTTGGTACATGACGCTATTAGCTGGAAGGCCAGCAGACGGTGATGTCAGCAGCACCAGCCTGATTTATCGACACCACTTGTCGGGATTAGGGCCCCAGCACTCGTATCTCATGTCAATCTGCTAGCCCTTGGAGCCTTGTTAACACGCAATATTCTGAGCTCTTATAAACTGCGTATCTAATGTAAAATAAACTGACAAAATGATTGCCGGAATTACAAATGAGACGTCACAATTCGTAATGGAGACGACAAATAAAAAAGTTCACGATAGAAAATCTGTTTTTAAAGTTAATCTGTTTTATCTCATTGATCTCTGAAAGAGCTTTAGTTGACAGTTTAAAAGATCGAATAAAAGCGACATTCGTTTTTATTCATGAAAATGTTGCAGTTGCAGAAATAAATTGAGACGTACGGTTTTCTAAGAAAGTTAGTTTAGCTATTACACGTGAGTGGTCGTGCGTGTGTGGTCCTATAAATCCGTCAACTAGTCATCGGATCATGTCAGTTCTCGGTGCGAGCCATATACCCTCCTGTCGTTGATCCTATCAACGGGTGCGCCCGGTATCTCACGTCTAAACACTCCATAATCCCTCAATTTATCTGCCCACTCTATTACTTTGATTGATACTCTCATATAAATAATTTAGTAACCATAACAAGGTTACAACAATATAAGAACGTCTTAACTTTTTTATAAATATCCTCTTGTATGATTGATCGGCTAATATGTTTTTGTGTGGCAGAATTTAGTTTCGTGTGTATCAAAATTTTCATTTGTTGGTATGCCTTGTTATAATACAAATGACCTCTACCAAAACATCCGAAAATGTTTTCAAGATAAATCTGTACCACAAAGAGGTATCGTACAGTAGAAAATATTTGAACAAAGCCACGGCGACGCGGTCGGATCTAAAAGTAGCCGGTTGCCAGTTTGCGGACATGATGGTCTGTCATAACATCCTACTGGGCAACAGACGCCTCAGGGACCACTTCAAACAAATCGTAAAAGTTTCGCTTCGCAGCTACCACCGCCATCATCGATGGTACTAACGCTAATTCATTTATTCACAACCTTTCAAACGGACCTATTGCAAATAACGTAACGTGCTTCAACGCGGTAAATAAATATGCTTTCTACTTATAAACATCATTGAGGTTATTGTTAATTTACAGTATATGATTGAAAAGCCAACACGTTTCGATTATACATATAGATGTTGCCTCTTGCCTAGCTTCTCAATTTAGCACATTGATTGTTTATAGTGAATCAATCGTCAACCTTAATACTTGTAACAATAATTTAACATCTGAAAAGTGTTCTCAAAAATATCCCACCACTATTTTTCATTAAAAATGATCTCGATTATTCAAAGCAATTTTCTTAGTCGCTAGACATAATTTCTAATACAATCTAGAGTGAAATGACTCAACGCTGCCCGACCTAGTTCAGTAGGCAAATAATATTTATTACTTCCGCGTCTCGAACCTAATAAAGCCAATCAGTAAGATAACCGATAGTATTAAAAAATATATCTATTTAATGTATTTGTTGGTGGCTGATGGCTGCGCGGTGTCGCGTGCCGTTGTAAACTGCCTGAAATGAGCCCGTCGGTTATTGCACTGCTAATTTTGCTGTAACGTTTCATCCTCGTATCTAAGCCGTCTGGGCGGTTACTGGTCGTAATAAAGCAGAATATACAACACTTGCACGTTTCAAAATAGAGATTGTTAGATGTGTTAATTTACGGTAATAACATACGGTTGTAATATTTCTAAGATATCATAGTGTTCCCTCTGATATTTGAATACAAACGAAATTATTGTGGTTCGTACCGATGCATGTTGAGTGAAGATTAGTAAACTCTAGATTTCAAAATTGCTACCTAACTACAAGTTATTCCTTATGACCTACCCTAAAGATGTTCACCGACTGCTGGTGTAGTCATTAAGTTCCAGGTTTCTAGCTCTTCATCAGTTATTGCATCTTTAGCTGACTATGCTAAAGATTGGTTAATATTTAAATAAAATATTTTACGCCTATAGAAAAGCTTCCACAAGTATCCATTCTAGCATCCAAGCGGATGCTACGAGAAAAATATGCCATATTGAGCTGAAACCGTAGCCATAATCGACCAAGAGTAAGTGTAGAGTCGACTACGCGATATTACATGATATCAACAACAAATTATAGGACAATTACACATTTTTGCTTACCGATTTCATAATTAGAGCAAAACTTTATATCTATTTATAACATAACAGCCACTATATTTACTCTTAAAACGCTCACGAATCTTCTGTTTGTTTAGATGGCTGCTTAATCTTTGGCCGGCATGCAGCCAAATTGTATGATTTACAGAATTGGACTCGCGCGGTAGGCGCCACTTCATGAGACGGATGCCGGCGGGAGTTTTTTCAAATTGTGTCAAATATTTTCATTTGACATTTCTATCTGGTGTCATACGAGGCGGCAGGCGTTAATGAGCCTACAACTTCCACTACAGACAAGTTGTATTGACTGGAAAATGTATGTGATGAGTAAAACTTCTGGTCTGACTGGGAGGTGTTCAGTGATGGCTGATGAAAATAAATGAAAGCTCAAGGTTTTCGCAATCGTTTAATCTTAGTAGTGTTAACTAGCTCATTAATCAACAAAGGCTTCACTAAATCGTTAATTGATCTGAAATATTTTTTTATTCCGCCATATTTTTTGTTAATTCCGAGATTCAGATACTTTTTGAGAAAACCTACAAACCTCCATAATAATCAAAAATGCATACGAAAAGCTTAACATACCTATTATTGTAAATTTGTGCGCGTAGCGAAAGTTTCATTTGTGCAGAAATGTCTCTACATACCCCCAACAAAAGTCAGATTGTAAAAAAAGGAATGTGCACACGACAAAGACAAAAGACAAGTGGCATGCTCTCAAATTGACATATTGATATGTATTGACAGCAGCTTTCGGTCAAACGTCAGCCGTAGATGAGTCGGAGTGCACGCGTTATTAGTTGTGCAGACGGCGCCTATCAATTTCACCAATGAGTCAGATTGTTGCGAGCGATCTATCGGGGGCCTACCCGCAAAGCACACGACATGGAAACAATAGAAACTTGTAACGTAAAACAAAACCTATTTTTTGCACATTAATGTAAATGCGTGCTCTATGAAAATGCGTCGTAGCGTCGTAGCTATCGTAGTATAGGTAATTTGTAGGTAAATAGAATCTATAGGTTTTTTTTTACATTTAGCGGGAATCTTTTGGTGATAACAAAGTCGCTCATGAAGGAAAAGTTTAAATGAATAATGATTTGACATCTTGATAAAATTTTCTCGTAGTTTCAGAATATCCAACCTGAATCAGACTCCGCGTATTTATGTCAACGACGTTTGAGAATGAGACACTAATCAACATAAACGAGATTACAATCTTTTATTAAAGCTATAGTAAAAATAGAGGCCAAAGGGACAATAACTAGGGTACGTAAGAGACAATATTAGCACTTAACAAACGCTGCAATCAAAATTGAGTTTCAAGGCAACTTCTGAAGAACGCATAGTTCTATCCATGAAAACCCATTAAGTTACTATTTTAGTAACTTTGAAATGAACAACGAAATCGAATTATACGAATATAATAACTCGCATGTAGGTAATAAGGTCCAATTAAAAAAAAGTTATGGTTTCAGACATTAATTGCAATCGCAATCGCAAGCTCTATCAAGAAATACAAATTCTATATTGCTAATGTACCAAAGTTAAACGATATTCAAAATTCGATCTAATTTCAATCGAACTCTACATCGAGCATCATTTCATTCTAATCAAAATGGAACTAGCGAATTTTCTTTTTCTTCGTAGCTTAATTAATTTTTTCTTCAAAGCTAGAACGATTCATGCTTTAATGAGTGCAGTGTGAACTCTAATTCACTTTATTAGTTCGCTGCTGTGAGGTGAGCAATGACCTCACAATTCT